CTCTGGAGTAGTGCCACCATGGAGGACGGAATTGAAGAGCTTCTGAAGCACTTCAAGTATCGATGTTCCACCCGCTTTCAGAAGCTCCGCTGTAATTCCATCCTCGCCCGGGGCCCTGCCGTTTTTAAGGTGCTGGAGAGCCATTCTAATCTCGCTTAGACTGACGTCCGGGATATCGTCGGAATAGTGTCGGATAAGACTTGCTCTTGGATCGTTACTCACAGTTGCGTGTGGCTCCAACGATGATGTGTACAGCTTCCCATAGAACCTCTCAATCTCACTCAAAATCTCAGGTGTCCCGGAAACGATGCTGCCACACTCAGTCTTCAGCTTTGACAGTTGGCTCTTTCTGGCAGACAGATCTCTGGCAAAGACTTTGGAGCCCTGGTTCCGCTCGATCGCTTCTTTAATACGAGCAGTATTAAAGTTGCGTAAGTCTCGCCGCATGCATTTGGAGATCTGTCTGTTCAGTTGCCTGTATGCTGTCAAATCTGTTGACGATTGCAGCCTCATCTCCCGTCTAACAGCCATGAGATTAAGAGTGTGATCGGAGAGTTTTTGTGTTCTTCTGCGGCGGGTCTTGCAGAACTTAGCTCCGACCGTATGGACAGTTTCCACGAGCTTGTCATTCGTATCGTCCACTGCATTGCAATCTTCTAGGCACTGAAAGCGGTTACGTAACTCGAGCTGAAAGTTTTCGGGATTCTGGATTAGAGCACGAGGGGGACGGAGCGTTGACTTCATTAGACGAGACCTCTCCAACTTAACGTTTAGGTTCAGTGTGCCTCTAACCATTCGGTGATCGCTGCCAGTTTTCACCCTTGCGATCACTGAGACATCACTGAACAGTTGGCGTCTGGTCGTCATAATGAAGTCAATCTCATTTTTTGTCGAACCGTCAGGGCTCGACCAGGTCCACTTCCTATGGGGCCGTTTCTGGAAGAAAGAGTTCATCATAAAGAGTCCCTCTTTCTCCATAAAGTCGGCCAGCTGCTGGCCCCTTTGGTTCCATTGCCATACTCCGAATTTCCCTAACTTCAGCTCACCGTTTTCTCTTGTGCCTAGTTTTGCGTTGAAGTCTCCCATCAACACCGTGTAGTGGGTTTTGGAGAAATGCATGGCTTTGGAAATATCCTCGTACATTTCCTCCACCTCCTCATCGGGATGTGCCGAGGTTGGTGCGTAAACCTGTATGACCTTCAGCGAATACCGTTTGGTGATTCTGAGTATCAGGTACGCGACCCTCCGTCGACACACTCCCAATCTTTACAACGTTGTTGACGAGGGGTAAATCCGACACCTCCTTGGGACAGATGGTCGCCCTCCCGGTGATAGAACAAGTTGCCGGACTCGAGGATTACCGTGTCCTCCCCCATCTCTTCGGACCTCGGATAATCTTATAATATTCCAGCGCAACTTGTCTATCTCGTCTTCCAGCTCCAGGATCTTCTCGTCAGTCCTCAGGGTGCGTGCGTTAAATGTTGCCAGGTCGAGTCGTCCTAGGTGGCAACCAAACCTCCACCGGAGATTCTTAGCACCCCGTGCCCCACCGTTACCATGGTCGCCACCGTAGCCAGGAATAGCGGGGCCGCCGGGGACTGGGGGCCGTCTATTTGTGTAATTGTTTATGGGGGGGGGGGGGGTATATTGCCATAGTTGCTACGCTTGGCGAGCGGGTTAGCAACCGCAGTTTTTTTTTGACGTACAGTTGCTGTTATCAGGAAGATGCTGCTGCCCATCTCCTTCCTGTTTCCCTCTGTCGCCTTTTACGACATCCACGGGAAGATATGGGGTAGTGGATATTCTTAATCGCCACTACACGGCACAAATTTTTTACTAATCTTAATATCATATATTATACCAACATGTTTGGTTGTATATTACTGAGTTTTGATAAAACAATAAAATTTAATAGGGTTGTCGAGTTACTTGTCTATAATATTTATCGATGTTCTTTCCTACCCGTATCTGTTAACAAACAAAGTCGTCAACAACAGATGATTACCAAATGTTTATTAATTAGCAGGTGTCCAATTGAATCTAGACTAAAATTATGGCTTAAAAGCAATATTGTGAATTGGCGTCCGAAACAAAATGATCATATTTGTTCTGAACACTTCTCAGACGACTGTTTTATTCGACATAACAACTGCACCACTTTGAAAAAGTACAGTATTCCGACAATATTTTCTGGTCTTACCAGTACCAGTGAGTATAAATGTATTAGATTATAATTTCGAATTTTTTTTTATTTCTTCTTTCCTCATTTTGTCACAAACTCAAGGGTCATAGGCAAGTTTCGAAAAATCGCCTGATGATGTCGAGTCAAGTTGGATGTGTGTTAGTGGCTGCGGCTAGAGGAGATTCCTCTCCCTGTACTGCTATATTCGAAGTGGAGTCGTCAGGGAAGAGGAGTGTTGGTATGGCGATTGGCGATGCGATGCCACTCGACTATCCTTCGCGACTTTGGTGAGGATGCACCACTTGCTGCTTCCAAGTGCTCGTTTTTTCCTGGCTCCATTCACATATCGGGGTCGGGGTGTACGTAGTGCAGGTGGAGTCAGAGGCCGTGAAGTATAGTGTGCCTTGTGTTTCTGGTGCGCCTTATCTGAGAAGAAAAACGAGAGGGGGGGGAGTCAGCAACTAAGAAGGGACTGCCATTAGGTGGCTGGCGCCGAAGGGGTCGCGGGTGTGCATGGAAACGTTTCCATGGCCCTGTCAATTTGCGCGGAGGTAGAACACCATGGGGTTTTAGTAAGTGCGAGTCTAGAGATTTAATTCTCTCTCGAGTCTCAAGATTTAATTTGTACTTTAACTTCGTAGTAGCCCTACTTTACTTATTTCTTATTTACAAATTCTCGCCATCGTTAACATTCACGGTTTTTGGCAGCTTCCTCTTGCGCAACATCCACCGACAAAGGAAATTAAGTGTTCGATCAAGAATCCATGGATTGCGATATGACAAGCCCCATAGAATACGTGGCACTGCCGAAGCTGGAAAGCTTTGGAGGATAAACGTAGGAAATAGGATATCGGCAGTAGAGCCAAAGTGACCGACATCGCCCAACGGATTAGTAAGCTGAAGTTGCAATTGACCGGCCATATAGCTCGAAGAACCGATTACCGATGGGAAAAAGATTCTCGAGTGGTAGCTTCGTACTGGTAGGTGAAGTGTCGTAACATCCCCCACTAGAAGGAGTGAAAACCTGGTAAGATATACAGGAATTTGATGGGTGCAGGTGGCTCAGGACCGTGCTTTGTGGCATTCCTAGGCCATGTTCAGCAGTAGACTTGTGAAGGGCTTTAATGGTGATGAACGATAATGGCGTTATATTAATATGATACATAAATAGAGTGGACGTGTGGGTAGAGTCCATCTATACATATAGTCCATTCTATTAATTTAGGTATAGTTAGGGTATAGAATTTTTATCGATATATTTTGTCACACTGTCTCAATCCCTATTATTAGTTCCGTGGACGCCGGCAGCCGTCAGCGCCAAAATGTCGCAAACCAAATTGTCTCATCATGTCACGGTGTATAGCAAGTCTAGCTTTTCTATCATGAAGGTTAGAGAACAGGAGAACGATCACTTCGTACTAAAGCATAGCCCGCCTGTCCTTGAAAATTGTAGAATTTATAGCGGCACTGACGTCGGTAAGTAGTGACTGCGAAGTTAGCTGTTTATGAGTACAAGTAGATGAAGTTAGTTGAATAATGTACAAAGAAACTATGCCCACTTTCCATACATTGATTGACCTGTCTCTAGATTCCTTTAACAGGTAGCGTCTACCTACAACTACCGTTATAAAAAACAATTATTGTTTATCATCTTTTCATTTAGAGGCCAGGAAAAAATGCTATTTTTTGAGGTTATAACAGCTGTCAAATAAGGTCTGTACACTTATTTTTCTTTCCACACCATGGTATAAAATCATTAAAAATCTTATCTAATCATAAATTAATAAGCTATAAAAAAAGAAATTGGTTATTTTGAACATTCATAATCCTCATGACGAATAAACAAGTTTTTCGTAGTCTAAAACGGAACGTGGAAAACACGTTTTTATGAAATATTATAATATATTTTGTCATGGCTTCTGGGCCTTTGAGCCGTTTTAAAACACCTTCCGTCTCCAAAAGTCTATTGAGAATGATAAACAAAGTAACATTACTTTTTTTCCTGACTTTATTTGATAATTCAATTATGCGATACGAAATAAGAAAAAAAATATGCAATTTTATAAGACATTTTAAATCACTAGACGCGTTAAAAAAATTCAGGTCAATAATGGACATGCTTCTTTTCTTCGCGGCATTGTGAGAAAATTTTCATGCTTCGTAATTCTGTAATTTTTGACAAAAAGAAACATTAAAAAATAGAGAAATGTTTTATTATGCGGGGATGTGCAAGTGGTTTAGCATTTGATTGGAAAAATAGACTGAAAATGACTTTTATTGAGCGAACTTAGCGATCGCAGCGCCTTACTTATGGTGCCCATATTTCTGGGACACTATTTTCTACAGCGATCGTTCTCCTGTTCTCTAACCTCCATGTTTTCTATGCTCAAAGAGTCCAGCGTACTTGTATACCTATATAGTCAGTGTCAAAATGTGACGCATTCAGCGAAGAACTTTGAGAATAAAATTATCGAAAACGCATTATGACCTAAGGACCTTTGCCTATCTGAATTGGTAAATCTTAATAAAAAAACAACAGCTGGCTAAATGTCAATTAAATAAATCAAAGATAAGATTATGATTATTTGGTTTTGAATATATTATATCTACGAAAAATATCCCATGATGGGGTATATCTTTGCCTTTTAATTGGAATTACTCTTTTTCATCATTAAGTTTATATTATACATTGGAATTTTATGTCAAGTTCTATTATCTAATTGGTTATAATTTAATCAAACTTAGCACACGTGTGTTTTGTTGGTGTTTTAAATTTAAAACGCAGATTCAGTTAAAAATATTTGACAAAGTTTAAAAAATGACTGAAAATAACACTGTAATGGATGATGAAAATAATACTAAATACAAAGACGGGGTAAACCGTAACGCTCGTTTAGTAGTCAGAAATATTTCGTTCAAAGCGACGGAGGACACTTTAAGGGAACATTTCTCATCATATGGTACAGTTGAAGAGGTTAAATTGTTGAGAAAACCTGATGGAAAACTAGTAGGTTCTGGCTTCATACATTTCACACATGTACCCATGGCCAACAAAGCTTTAGCAGCTACAAACAAAAAACCATTTATGGGTAAGATGTAAAAAAATAATTTCTTCCTAATAGAAACAGAAACTTTTTTATTCAATTTAGATTATAACAATACTTATTGAAAGTCACTTTTTTCATTTACCACTGGTTCACAAGAAAAACCTCTGTCCTGGGAAGAACCAGCAAGAAACCAATTTTTTTCCAATAATAGTTCAAGTACAATCATGTTTACCCTCTCAGAAATGAGATGAGGCCTGTGCCCAGCAGTGGGACGTATATAGGCTGTAATGTTACGTTACGTACGTACATATGTTTACAATTAACAACATAAGACAAATTAGAAATAGCTTGGTAGCGATCTCCCTCCTGGGGGTTATTATCATCCATAAATTCCTTAATATTATAATAACCCTTTTTATACAAACTTAGTTTAAAAACATTTTTGAACTTTGTGACAAATTTTGTATATTGTCTGGGATTTTGTTGTAAAAGCGTATACATCGCCCCAAGAATGAATTACTGACTCGGTGGAGTTGAGTAACTGGTACTACTAGCTTGTGCCTGTTCCTAGTATTTACAGAATGAATATCACTTATTTTTGCGAAACTACTTTTATTTTTGTGTATGTACATTACATTTTCATAAATTTATATTTAGAGGTCAGAGTTAATATATTAATTTTCTTAAATTTTTGTCTGAGTGACTCTTTTGGTTTTAAATTGTATATTGCTCTAATGTCCCTCTTCTGTAAAATAAATATAATTTCAGTGTCAATCGCGTATACCATACAACATAATGCTTTGGAAATAACTAAACTATTTTAGCTGTTTCAACACTGGTAAGAGTTCTAATCTTTTTTACAGCATATGCTGCAGAACTAGTTTAGTTAGTTTAGTTTGCGACGGGCTGTTTTCCGCAACTCCACGTCTATGCGCGTATTTTACGTGTGGGCAGGAATAATGTGATTATTCGAACCATGAGATCTCCCCCGAAGAAGCTCAACAGTCCCTTGATGTTGCATGCAACTTCGGGGAGTGATCCCGGCGTGCCGAGATGTTTAGCCCTGTACGTAGCGACCTCCGGACATTTCAGTAGCACGTGGGCCGCCGTTTCTTCCTCCCCCATACATGCCCTGCACAGCGGACTATCTGTAACACCTATAGTAAATAAATGTTTGTTAAAGGTGCCGTGTCCTGTGATAGCACTTGTTACTATCCTGATCTGCGGCTTGTTCAGTCTCATTAGAACTTTGGTTAAGCGACTGTTTATTACAGGTAGGGCCTCCCTAGCTTGTCTACAGTCTACTAGATTTTTCCAAAGCTGAGCGTGTTGATTAGTGAAGTGTCTACGTACCATTGAACGAACATTACCAAAGGGGATTGGTATGATTGGTTCCGGCCCTATAGTGGCCAGAGCCGATCCTCTTCTGGCCAGTTCGTCTGCTGCATCGTTGCCTCTGGATCCACTGTGTCCCTTTATCCATTGCAGAGTCACATTGTTGTTTTTACATACCTCATTTAATCGTTGATGGCATTCATATATTAGTCCCGAGTTTACCCCATTGCAACTCAGAGCTTGTAGTACCGCCCTACTGTCGGTCAGTATTCTGATGGGGAAGTCATTAACCTTCCTAGCATCTATTGCTATGGCCGCTTGAATGATACCCATACATTCCGCCTGAAAGACCGTGTTATAGGTACCCAGCGGTGTGCATATGTGAATATTGAGGTCTTCAGAGAAAGCTCCAGAACCTACACCTTCATTTGTTTTAGAGCCATCGGTGAAAATTCTAAGCTCTTTTGGGCTTAATCCTTCCGGCTGGCTGTTTTCATTTAATTGTATCTTGTATTTCTTATCGAAAACGAATTGTTTAGGAATCCTATCGTATTTGGCTTGTAGGATAGGAATTTCTGAGTGAATTCTATCAATTATGCCTGTATGAGGGACACTATTCTTACTCCAAAGATTTAGGGTCTTGAGTCTGATGGCAGCTAAAGTCGCTTCTTGTTGTATATGTAGATGAAGCGGAGTTAGCTCCAGCATCGCTTCCAAGGCTGCTGTTGGCGTAGTTCTTATGCAGCCTGTGGCAGCCATACATGCCAGTCTCTGGTAGCGCTGAAGTGTCTTAATTGTGGTGGCTTCATTTGTCTTGGTCCACCGTACCAGAGCGCCATATGTGATCATGGGCCAAATTACAGTTTTGTAAAGCCACAGTATGATTTTTGGCGTCAGTCCCCATCTTTTGCCAATCATGTTTCTGCATTGCCAGAAAGTTATACTAGCTTTGTTGATTTTGTTTTCTATGTGTTTATTCCAGTTAAGTTTGCTGTCCAAGGTAAGACCTAAATATTTTACCTCAGAGGATAGCTGGAGTTTTGTGCTGAAAAGACTTGGAAGATGATAGTTATTCTGTTATGCTGCAGAACTAAGTCTGCTAGCTAGTTTTGATATATGGGGGAGCCATTGAAGCTTTGCATCTAGTGTGATTTCAAGAAAAATCAACAAGACTCAGTTCCTCCCCATTTAAAATTACATTAGTATTAACATGTTTGACATTAGAAGTTACGAATTTCATACATTTAGTTTTAGTTCAATTTAAATTCAAATTATTAACATTAAACCAATTGACTAACTTAGCTATAGCATTATTTACTTTGTCATAATTTAATATGTGTCATTTACCAACACTTAGTAACATTTTTGAAAGAATAATTTTTTCAAAAATGTTACTAAGTGTTGGCAGTACAGAAATAGGTCTAAAATTAGCGGGGTCCTTTACTATGCTTCATTAAATCTGGAAACACACCAGATTCAATACTTATTAAAAATAATAGATAGTTGAGGTACGATTGTATCTATTATAGAAGCAATAACTTTAACAGAAATCCCCCACAGAGATTGATGTTTGACAATGACAATAGATTCATGATTATTAAAGATTGTCGAATAGTTCAGCCAGTTGGCAGTGTAAATGTATTTTGTATGTATTTGCTGTATGTTATATTTAAATATCTTGTTTTGCAAATGATTTTATTGATTTATTAAGATAAGATTTGTAGTTAATAAATTTCTATATTAATTATTTAAAAAATGTATGACAATTTCCTGTTGATTTAATCCTCAAGGTTTCTTTTTTGTTTATCTGAATCTAGTACCAATGAAATTATTACCTTTATATTTCACTCAGTATTGAATGAACCCATTGACCTTATCAAAGAAGATGTTAGATGGATAATATACATTAGTAAAGCAATAAATTATGTATGAAACTATTATTTACGGATTTTATCGCGTTTAATTACTTTAATTTATTTTTATTATTATCCCAATTTCGGAACAAATCGGACCAAAAATTAATATTAAAAAACTGAAGGTAGCCGGACTAACTATGACATTGGGACGTCAAACATCTCAGTCCCCCCCGTGACCATGGGCGCTGTAAAGCACCCGAAACGTCGGGATAATAATAAAAATAAATTAAAGTAATTAAACGCGATAAAATCCGTAAATAATAGTTTCATTCATGTGTAGTGTTCGCGTAAATTTAAGAAATCACAATAAATTATGTTCATTTTTCTCCTCAGACAGTTACTTATTTTAACTTGAAAAGGGCTTTGATTATATGTAGTAAAAACGTAAGGTATTAATAATTATTTTTATTACAGGTCGTCCAATATTTGTGTCATGGGCAATCCCAAAAAACAAATATGTAAGTCAGGAACAACAAAATGGACAAAGAAAAAGGTTGAGTAGTGCTTCATCTGGTGATTTTGAGGAAGGTGTGATAATAATCTGAACAAGTGAAATAAATTTAACTTTTCTGTTAATGGATGATAAAATTAATACAATTCTAATATATAACATTTACTTACAGTGAAAGTAGAAAATCTACACTCTGAAAAGGAAGATAAAAATAAAATACGAATCAACCGTAATGCTCGACTTATTGTTCGTAATGTTTCATTCAAAGCTACTGAAGAGTCCTTAAAAGAACATTTTGAGCCTTATGGTGTTATTCAAGAAGTTAAATTGCTAAAAAAACCTGATGGGAAACTGGTGGGATGTGCTTTTGTTCACTTTAAAAATGTTCCTATGGCGAAAAAGGCACTTTTGAATACAAATATGAAACCATTTCTAGGTAAGTGTGACTTGTTACAATAATTTAAAAAAACTGTACTATTATTGCCTATTAAAGTACACTCCTGAACATAGGTCTCCCCCAGAGTTCCTGCTATGTTAGATCCATACCATAGCTGCTATGCTTAGCAGGCCTGTTAGCAACCACAATTTTTTTAGTTAGAGTTGTTATGAGAAGCATGCTGTTGACAATATTCTCTTTCAGCATCTTATGACACCAATGGGATGATATGATAGGGTTATTGGATTTCTTACTCAGTCACTACATAGTAAGGTATAATTTATAGAATAATTTTATACAGATGCATTGAAACACATGAGTATATATATTTTTCTATTCTTATTGAATGGTAATTTATACTTAACACTATTTGAAGTCAGCCACTAGAGCTGTGGTAGCTCAGATGGTTAATGCTCGCTGTAAATATAACAGAATGCAAGTAACCCGGGTTCGATCCCCGCCGGCACCAATGAAATTGTTAATTGCAATTTTAAGTGCTGATTTACAACATGCTCGGCGGTGAAGGAAAACATCATGAGGAAACCTGCATGTCTGAGGAATAAGAAAAAAAATTATTTCGAAGACATGTGAAGTTCGCCAACACGCATTGGGGCAGCGCGGCGGACACTTCCTTGCCCTAAAACCCTCTCAGATATGAGGGAGGGCCTGTGCCCAGCAGTGAGATGTATATAGGCTGTAACTTTATTACTTGAAGTATGTAAAATGAACAAATATATCTACAAAGAATACTATTGAACTGTAACTAACTTAAAACAAAGAATGCTAAGCTACAGATGCATTATCACAATTGAGGACTAAGATGGAATGCCTCACATTCGCAAATGAGTTGGCTCTATACCTTCACACACAAAAATTGCACATTGACAAAGATTCGGACCTGTAATTATTAGTAGACCATAGAAACACTTATCCCATGCAAAATATAAATAAATAAATAAAATAAATGCAGGATCCAAACCCAGAGCTCTGCAGGTCTCAGCCGAAATGCTTGGTCACAATATGTTTACAGTTTATCCAATGTGTCTTAATTCAGATTTATTTCGGTTTTTTTTCTTCTATTGTATTTATATTACTATATATTTGTTTCTTTACAGGTAGACCAATATCGGTGGATTGGGCAGTTGCAAAAGATAAGTACATGCAACATGTAGTCACACAGCAGATTGAGATGGAAGAAAAGGTAAAGAAGGAGGACTCAGATAGTGATATTGAAAATGACACACCTTTAAATATTTCTAATGAGGAATTGAAACAGGAGGTAAAGAGTAAGTAGAGGACTTTGTTTTAGCTTTGTAATATTTACCTTTGTCTAGTCTAATGGTGGTTAATATAGCGCATAGTGCCATATTATAGCGTGCCATCTCTTCATAACGCATAGCGCGTGCTATGTAAGTAGTCGCAATGGCGCTATGACGCTTTGGCGCTATTCATATCAAGCGGCAATTAGTTCTAGCAGCAGCGCTGTTGGGAGTAGACGTGTGACGCAAATTTAATCTAGCAGCACGCTATTCATCGTGCGGGAACTAATTTAGTGTTAGACATTATTTAGTTAGTGTATACTGTAATAAGTGATCGAAGGACACAGTTTTCGGCTACAAAAGAAGTCTAACTAAGGTTTTTAAATGTAAATAAAATATAGATACAAAAGTGTATATAATAGTGTTTCTAAATAGTTGATTTTTGTATATACAATCAATAAAATTTTAAATACACCTTTGATTTATAATTTATATTAAGGTTAAAATAATGTATACATCAATTATAATAAAAAAATGATTAATTTTATTTTGTTTTAAAAAGTACAGTCCTTAAAATATTTTTAGGATTATAAAAAGTCGTAAGCTTGAAAAGTATGAAGGAGCGTTCTTTAGTTTTTCTTTACCACTTTATTTTAATTTAATCTAAACTTCGACTTTTTACGAAACAATGTTCTTATATAGCACGCAGTCTATCCAATGAACGGCATGTAATGTACCGTGCTCCGAGATATAGCATGCTGCTAAACTTAACGCGCTTGCCGGCCTCCTACACACTTTTTATAAATAGCGCGCTATAACATAGCGTATTTAATAGCGCGCTAGAAATTTCTCGTTTATAGTCTGTAGCGTGCTATTGATTTATAGTCGTTTTGAACAACTTTAGTCTAGTCATTTGAATTCCTGTTCCTTTTTTTTTATAAAACTGAAGTGACAAACATACTCATGTACGCTACTGCAGACCATGTACGTCTGTCATGTATATGTCATACTACCAACTACATTGGTTAGGGCGTTTTTGTAGGGAGAATTTCTCAGATTGGTTGAGCTGGTTGTCTAGTTACATATTTTATGTGAACACATGGATCTTAATTATTTGAGCCATCTGAGCTGCTTGAGGAATCATAGTAAATATTGTATATAACCTACAACCGTGAGGAGCAACCTTAGTGACCTAGCAACTGCTGAGTACAATTATAGGCCGAAAGTGGGCTACCCTTTCGTTGTGCTTCATGCCTACTTTGCATCTAGAGGCTGACAGTTTATTTTATTTACGGGTTAGAGTACTATATTCCTTAGTCTAAGGTGTCAGTGTATGGAGATAATGGAGTTTGGATATATTTCAATCTTTTGAGAATTAGCCTGACTTAGCTTTAAATCTATTGAGGCACATTTTGGGTTCTTAATGTGTTAAGGCGTTTAGAGATTCTGTCACTTTTAAATTATAGAGTTGGTACTTATTTGAATAGCTTTTTCCAAAATGTTAGTGTTTTGCCATGGCATTCTTATTTCAAAATGGTAGTAGATTGGTAATAAAAATTACGTTTGTTAAATAAACTTTTAACACAGAAGAAAATTATATATTCATCATCATTACAGCCCTTCACAAGTCCACTGCTGAACATAGGCCTCCCCCAAGTAATGCCACAAAGCACGGTCCTGAGCCACCGGCATCCATTGACTTCCTGCATATCTTACCAGGTCGTCACTCCATCTAGTGGGGGGTCGCCCTACACTACGCCTACCGGTACTAGGCTGCCACTCGAGAACCTTTCTTCCCCATCGTTTATCGGTTCTTCGAGCTATATGGCCGGCCCATTGCCACTTCAGCTTACTAATCCGCTGGGCTATGTCGGTCACTCTGGTTTCACTGCGGATATCCTCATTTCTGAGTCTATCACGCAGAGAAACTCCGAGCTTAGCCCTCTCTATAGCTCGCTGAGCGACCTTGAGCGTCCTCATACGGCCAGCAGTGAAGGACCACGTCTCTGATCCGTAAGTCATCACTGGCAACACGCACTGGTTGTACACTTTAGTTTTCGGAGATTGAGGTATACCTGACGAGAAGATGTGTCGTAATTTCCCGAACGCTGCCCAGCCGAGTTGAATCCGTCGATTGACCTCTCGGTCGAAGTTGGACTTACCTAGTGGGACTATTTGTCCCAGGTAAACGTACTCGTCAACAACTTCGAGCATAGTGCTCCTAACAACTACCGGCATAGGTGTGACATGGACATTAAACATGATCTTTGTTTTGTCCATGTTCATCTTGAGACATAACCGTTGGGAGACACTATTGAGGTCATTGAGCATAGTGCTAAGGTCCTCCAGCGATTCTGCCATAAGGACTATATCGTCGGCAAATCGAAGGTGAGTGATGTACTCGCCATTGATGTTAATACCGTATCCTTTCCAGTCCAGTAGCTTGAAAACGTCTTCCAACGCAGCGGTGAAGAGTTTCGGGGATATAACGTCACCCTGTCTTACACCTCTCTGCAGTTGGATAGGTTTCGAACTCTGGTTCTGTACTCGGATAGCCATCGTAGCCCTACTGTACAAACACGTCAGCACTTCGATATACCGACAGTCAACTTGGCACCGCTGAAGGGACTGTAGCACCGCCCAAATTTCGACGGAATCAAAGGCTTTCTCATAGTCCACATACGCCAGGCAAAGTGGCAGATTGTACTCTTCGGTCTTCTGTACAATCTGCCGCAGGGTATGTATGTGGTCTATGGTACTGAAGCCTTTTCAGAAACCGGCTTGTTCGGGAAGCTGGAAGTCGTCGAGTCTGCGTGCGAGACGATTCGTAATGATTCTCGAAAACAGCACGTAGACGCGGCTCAGAAGGGAAATCGGTCTATGGTTCTTCAAGAGAGCGTTGTCGCCTTTCTTAAAGAACAAGACCACCGCACTTCTGCTCCACACCTCCGGAGTAGTGCCACCATAAAGGACGGAATTGAAGAGCTTCTGAAGCACTTCAAGTACCGGTGTTCCACCCGCTTTCAGAAGCTTCGCTGTAATTCCATCCTCACCTGGGGCCTCGCCGTTTTTAAGGTGCTGGAGAGCCATTCTAATCTCGCTCAGACTGACGTCCGGGATATCATCGGAATAATGTCGGGTAAGACTTGCTCTTGGATCGTTACTCACAGTTGCGTGTGGCTCCAACGATGATGTGTACAGCTGCCCATAGAACCTCTCAATCTCACTCAAAATCTCAGGTGTCTCGGAAACGATGCTGCCACACTCAGTCTTCAGCTTTGACAGTTGGCTCTTTCTGGCAGACAGATCTCTGGCAAAGACTTTGGAGCCCTAGTTCCGCTCGATCGCTTCTTTAATACGAGCAGTATTAAAGTTGCGTAAGCTTCGCCGCATGCATTTGGAGATGTGTCTGTTCAGTTGCCTGTATGATGTCAAATCTGTTGACGATTGCAGCTTCATCTCCCGTCTAACGGAAGGGTCTTGCAGAACTTAGCTCCGACCGCATGGACAGTTTCCACGAGCTTGTCATTCATATCGTCCACTGCATTGCAATCTTCTAGGCACTGAAAGCGGTTACGTAACTCGAGCTGAAAAGTCTGGATTCTGGATTAGAGCACGAGGGGGACGGAGCGTTGACTTCATCAGACGAGACCTCTCTAACTTAACGTTTAGGTTCAGTGTGCCTCTAACCGTTCGGTGATCGCTGCTGGTATTCACCCTTGCGATCACTGAGACATCACTGAACAGTTGGCGTCTGGTCGTCATAATGAAGTCAATCAAATTTTTTGTCGGACCGTCGGGGCTCGACCAGGTCCACTTCCTGTGGGGCCGCTTCTGGAAGAAAGAGTTCATCATAAAGAGTCCCGCTTTCTCCATAAAGTCGGCCAGCTGCTGGCCCCTTCGGTTCCGTTGCCCTACTCCAAATTTACCTAACTTCAGCTCACCGCCTTCTCTTGTGCTTAGTTTTGCGTTGAAGTCTCCCATCAACACCGTGTAGTGGGTTTTGGAGGAATGCATCGCTCTAGAAATATCCTCATACATTTCCTCCACCTCCTCATCGGGATGTGCCGAGGTTGGTGCGTAGACCTGTATAACCTTCTGCGAATACCGTTTGGTGATTCTGAGTATCAGGTACGCAACCCTCGTCGACACACTCCCAATCTTTACAACGTTGTTGACGAGAAACTTGTGCACGATAAATCCGACACCTCCTTGGGACAGATGGTCGCCCTCCCGGTGATAGAACAAGTTGCCGGACTCGAGGATTACTGTGTCCTCCCCCTCTCTTCGGACCTCTGATAATCCAATAATATGCCAGTGCAACTTGTCTACCTCTTCTTCCAGCTCCAGTATCTTCTCGTCAGTCCTCGGGTGCGTGCGTTATACGTTGCCAGGTCGAGTCGTCGTAGGTGGCAACCGAACCTCCACCGGAGATTCTTAGCACCCCTGCCCCGCCGTTACTATGGTCGCCACCGTAGCCAGGAATAGCGGGGCCGCCGGGGACTGGGGGCCGTTTATTTGCGTCGTTGCTCATGGGGGGATATTTGCCATAGTTGCCACGCTTGGCGAGCGGGTTGGCAACCGCAGTTTTTTATTATGTTATTGTTGTTATTAGGAAGCTGCTGCTGCCCATCTCCTGCCTGTCTCCCTCTGTCGCCTCTTACGACACCCACGGGAAGATATGGAGTAGTGGATATTCTCAACCGCCACTACACGGCAATATAAAAATATAATAAATAATGAAATAATATTATGTAAAAAATTTGTCGGAATTTTTTTATTTTATTTTAAGTCAAGTCGTCAGTAAGTCAACAAGTATCCACAAGATTAGTAGTCTGCTGCAGTAATATTATATTTTATTTGTTTTTCTTTGTGTTGTTTTGTGGCTTCCTCTGAAAATTGGTAAAGCCAATTATCGACTGAGATCCGCAGAGAGTAATTCTTTCTTCATTATTTTATCAATTTATTCAGTTTCTCTTAACTTTAATTTCGAATTATTTACAATTTCATTAACTTTTTCAAACATTAATTGATTCAGGTGAGACTGAAGATAGCTCTGATGATGACAGCAATGACGATGAAGACGACGATTCTGTTGAAAACTCTGAGGTGGATGATGATGATGAGGAAAATGATAAAGAGAGTTCGGATGATGATGATGAACAAGACGAAAACTTGGATGATGAAAGAAGTGTCACTAGTACACAAGCAGAGCAGAAACGGTTGGTCTTTTTACTGTGATGAAATGTTTAAAATATGTAATAATTATATGTGGTAGAGCCACACTGCAGCCACATTATAATTGTAGCACGAAAGGTTCAGCTTGACCGGGGAAGGACCACACTCTCACAGAATACCAGTGTAAAATAGCAGCTTGATGCTGCTGTGTTTTGTATGGTGAGTGTAGAGAACTGAAGACCCGTTTTACTGGAGTTGAGGCATTCTATCTTAGTCCTCAGGTGTGACAACGCATCTGCATTTTGATTTTTAATCGAGGTTAAACCGTTAAATGTAGATGTCTATGTGGCACAAGATCCACTTTCTATCAAGCGGACTGTGTGCTTGTTTGTCACGCTAATTCTATTTAAAAAAAATCTTAAAATTTGTTTGATCTGTGAGGGTGCTTTCAGATATCGTAATATTATTGTTACAAGCTTGGGGTTAGAGATAATAAGAACTGCCGATTGAATTACCAAAATTGACACTTTAACTATCGGACACATTTGAAACTTAAAACACACTTATAATTAACTACATTTAACACTTTAGTTCACTTTATTTCGCTCCGAAGTCTTAGCTTGATTCGCCAATTCAATACTGCCCCGGTCGCCGCCCTGATGAACGTCTTTATTTAGGACCTTTTCTACTGAAACATCTAGAATGTTCGAGTAGAATGTTAAAAGTTCTAGCATCAAATTTTTAAAAAAGCTCTTAACGCTTCTAATTCTGCTACTTGATACTAGATGTCGCTAATAATCACCCGCCATGTACCAGGCCTCAACTATTGCGCGCAACATTATGATAAACGATCTTGTTAGCGTCGTTCAACATGCTAAATACTTAATTTACGCAGAGTTTTAAAAGTGGTACTCGAAATAAATGAAAATGTCAATCACAGTCATATCCAAAGTGGATAATGTGTGATATTCTTCTGGAAACACTACAGCTTTAAGCTGGTATTCTTTGAGAGTTCAGTTAGAAGGTAACACAGAGCTTGTTAAAGTATTTACATTATTAAAGTGATGGCCATAGCAAATAAGTAAACTCATAACTTAGTTAGTAAATGTAATTAACACAAATGTAGCTACTGAACATTTTAAAATCATGTTTAGCATGTCCGATTACAGAGTCCACCGGATCGGATAAAAGTCGGATTACGGCGGGTCGACTGTATTTAAAATGATGTTTAGTTTAGTTTAGTTTACGACGGGCTGTTTTCCGCAACTCCACGTCTAAGTGCGTATAATGCGTGTGGGCAGGAATAATATGCTTATTCGAGCCATGATATTTCCCCGAAGAAGCTCAGCAGTCCCTTGATGTTGCAAGCAACTTCGGGGAGCGATCCCGGCGTGCCGAGATGTTTAGCCCTGTATGAAGCGAATTCTGGACATGTCAGCAACACGAGAGCCACAATTTCTTCCTCTCCCATGCATGCCCTGCACAGGAGGCTATCACTAAAATGATACTCTTTTCCCTTTTTGAAAATTTTACTTTATTACAATTGTGTTTAATATCGAATTCCTTTACAGCTTAAAATTAAACGACGCCGAAGATGGTCTGACCGTGTTCTTGACTAATGTACCCTTCAGCGTTGACAATGATCAATTGAAAGAGTTTGCGGAGAAGACAGGTCCCGTGAAATATGCGCTTATTTGCATTGATAAGTTGACCGAGCATTCCAAGGGGTCAGGATTTGTCAAGTTTGCAGTGAGTATCATATTTAATCTACTGACATTCGTGTAGTGGCGGTGTAAGAATATCCACTACCCTTTATCATCCCGTGGATGTCGTAAAAGGTGACAGAGGGAAACAAATCAGGAGATGGACTGCAGCGTCTTCCTAATTACTAAAAATAAAAATAAAAACTGCTGTTGCGAATTGGGCATCAAAATGCAAATCCTATCCTATACCTTTAAACAAGCAATTCCTGTATATATATATATATATATATATATATATATATATATATATATATATATATATATATATATATATATATAATTGGGATCTCGCAAACGGATCCAACGATTTTCATAAAATTTAGTGTCCAGGGAGTTTCGGGGGCAATAAATCGATCTAGCTAGGATTTATTTTTAGAAAATGTCCTTTTGTTCGTGTTTTCAGGCAAACAAAATTGCTACAATATAACAAGGTAAATTTTGACAGGTAACCAACGATCGTAATAGCTCAGATGGGATGTTGTTCGGGCGTGATATCGGAGTTCCGTGGTTCGCGTCCCGTCTTGGGTCCGACTTTTTTCTTTTTTTTTTTCCAAGTTCCCTTCTTTTGTGAGATAATCTATTATTTCGAGCCCTTTTTTTTTTACTATTTTTTAATAATACGAAAATTTTAATTAAACTAATTGCACTCATGATTTTTTATTCAAATAACCAGTTCAGTTTTTTCTATTATGTCAATAAGATCAAAAACTATTATTCATGTAATTTGTATATAAATGTAACTTAAAAAAACCGAGCAAAGCTCGGTCATCAGGGTACTACGTTATTATCCGTGATCACTTTATTGGAATCCCTCGCCAGAAAAGAGATCACAAATACACAGGTGCACAGTAATAAGTACTATGTTATTGTAATATTAAAATTAAAAAAATTAAAAATAGGATACACGCGAGTTTCTATCGCCGTTTTTTTTTCGGAACAGAGGAATCTCATTTCGTAACAGTAGTAGATTTAAATAAAACAATTACATTTGACACAGGCAGTTTATTTTTTACGTCAAAGAAATGAATATATTTTTCATTTATTATACACATTTCAGAACCAAGAAGACGCAGACAAGTTTCTGGCACTCCCCCTGCATCAATTACGATTAGAAGGGCAGGTGATGCAGGTTAAGCCTGCATTGAAGCGGGAGAATCTAGACAAAGGCAACAAGAAGCAGCCAAAAGATAATAGGAACTTGTATCTTGTGAAAGAAGGAGGTATGCAATGGTGACTTATTTCTATTATGGACATAATACGATATAAGTGTTGTGTGTTGTGGTAGTCTAAATACCTTACACTTCATCCTACTTGTTTGCTTATTTTATAACTGTTTGATACTCTGAACAACAAAGTAAGATAGAACACTACGTTTTATTTTATTATATAACAAGCATGTTCTCCTGATGGAAAATGACAACAGCCATCCACCAGGATGAATCACCAGGGATATTACAGGTGTGGTCGATCTTTTAAAAAAAGAGTCTTAAAAGTCTAAATGGTATCAGTTTGGAAAAATTGCTTATTTCAACTGACGTCGAAACCATGTTAAATCCCCCATCAAATAACCCATCGGATTATGAGAGTGAGGGAATAGAGAGTGCACCTGTGCTTGCACATACACTTGGGCACTATAATCCTGTCCTGCGCCGATGGCTGGTTTTCCGTTGAGGCAAGCCGCCGTGGCCGTGATTCGTTCTAGAGGACATTATTATTACTCTTGTTTTCAAATTTCAATTTAATTTTGTCATAATGGTTTATCAATAGTTATTGTGGCGGGGACAAAGGCAGCGGAGGGCGTTTCCGCTTCGGACATGTCAAAGCGGCTCGCACTTGAACGTAGTAAGACGCAGATGTTGAAGAATTTGAACAGGCGAGTTGATTTAATTAAAATATATATAATATAATAAAGTAGTTATTATTGAAAAACGGTTGTTTCATCGAGAAGTCAGTTAAAAATCGATTGCAAAATTTGTACCGAACTAACAAAAAAGCGAGTTACTAAACTAAAAACGTGGTACTATGGAATTGTAATCCACAGAGTGAGTTCACCGAACTGAAGTTCGCTCTGATGTATGACACAAAATCAATTATTGTGCCCATAAGTGGTAGATTTAGAGCGTGCATGATAATTTCACATGTTTGTAGCATGAACAGGTTGACTCGACTGGGGAAGGACCATGCTCTCTCAGAACCCTTTGTGAAAAATAGCAGCTTAGTGCAGCTGTGTTTCGTATAGTGAAGATAGAGAACCGGAAACCCTTTTCACTGGAAAATAGGCTTTCGATCTATGTCCTCAGGAAAGACAACGCATCTACATTTAAATATAAATCAAGGTTAGATGTAGATGGCCACAGCGTCCACTTAACTTTAGGTGGACTGTGTGCTTGTTTGTCAATTTTTCTATATAAAACAAAATTAAGTTGCATTTTGCCCACAGATTCGTATCTCGTTATCGCCTGGTGGTGGCAAATTTACCCCAGCAGTGGGACGACGGGCGGCTGAGGCGGGAGTGCGCCAGGGCCGTGGGGCGGAACGCTAAGATCACGGAGGCACGTATCATGAGGGACCTCAGGGCTCCAGTTGAACGCTCGGGAAAGCATCCGTGAGTACAGATGTATAGATGTTTTTTACGTGGTAGAGTCATGCTGCAGTTATATTAGTAGTATAGTTGTAGCACGAATGGGTCGGCTCGACCGGGGAAGGACCACGCTCTCACAGAATACCAGCGTGAAATAGTAGCTTAATGCTGCTGTATTTCGTATGGTGAGTGTAGAGAACCGGAGACCCTTTTTACTGGAAACGAGGCATTCCATCTCAGTCCTCACGGGTGACAACGCATCTGCATTTTGATTTTTAATGGAGGATAGATGTAGATGTCTATGGGCCGTGCTCGTTTGTCACCCTATTCTATAAAAAAAAATGTTAAAAATATCCATATGTATAAAAAGTAATGTCAAAATATCTTTAAACTCATCTATTTTTAAAATTTTAGGTTTATAATATTTTTCATGAAATGACGCTAAATTGTCTATCAACAGTGATTACCATAATTAAAATTTAAGACACCGGCAGAACTACGGCCAACTACGATACGAAGCGAGTTGAAAATTATATGGAGTTATAAATTATATTATATATATAAATATTGCTATCTCTGTAGGCGGTTGCGGGGTACAGCGCGCAGAAATACATTTATTTTCATTTACAACTCGCATTCGCATTTAGGCAAATCCACCTCCCAATGGGAGAAGCTCACGATTAGCATTTATGATGTATGACTTTAGCCTTGACTATTAGCATGACACTTACAGGCGCTAGGAAGAAAGAAATTTACAGTATGTATAAAAACATGTGATTTCAATGTCACACTAAAGGTCACCGCGGTCCATTATGGGCATGCTCCAAAATAGAACCCAGTGTACTGGCCAATGCAAATGACGTCATAAATCGACGCCATACTGGTAATTCGTTTCAAAACATTGGACAGTATATGACATCATACATTTGCGCCATGTTAGAAAAGTGTTGGCGATTATTTTGTCATTTCGTGATCCAAAAGTCATTATATCGTGATTCAGTTAATTTGTGAAGAATGGAGACAACTATTCCACAATTTTTTGTGTTTGAATTAATATAAACAATTCTGGCATGCTTCATTCAGCGTACACACCAAGGAGGTTAAAAACAGGAGAACGATCAAAAAAAAAAAGCATAGTAGCGCGCCAGTCCTTGAAAATTGTAGAATATATAGCGGCGCTGACGCCGGTGAGTAGACTGTTAGCTGTTTATGAGTACAAGTAGATGAAGTTAGTTGAATAATGTACAAATTTTCTTCGCGGCATTGGTGAGAAAATTTTCATGCTTCGTAATTTTGTAATTTTTGACAAAAAGAAACATTAAAAAATGGAGAAATATTTTATTGTGCGTGGATGTGCAAGTGGTTTAGCATCTGATCGGATAAATAGGCTGAAAATGACTTTTATTGAGCGAACTTAGTGATCGCAGCGCCTCACTTATAGTGTCCATATTTCTGGGACACTATTTTCTACGTTGATCGTTCTCCTGTTCTCTAACCTTCACGGTACACACATATAAAATTGTTTTAATATGACGACACGCCAATACATAATGGCGTCAATTAATTACGTCATTTGTATTCGCCCAGTATACTGGAAACATTTCGGAACATACCCTAATCCGTACGTTTTTTTTTATGGAATAAGTGTGACTATCGACCTCATAGTCCACTTGATAGTAAGTAGATGCGTGACCTTTTAGACGTGTGTACAGGGTCGGTGCTTACTTATTTTCCTTTTCCTTCCAGGTCTAAAGGGTACGGCTTCGTGATGTTCACACGACACGAGGATGCCCTGGCCTGTCTGCGCAAGCTTAATAATAATCCGGATATAATCGACAGGAATAATGTAAGTTGGTGTCTAACTTTTCATTTTAATCTTTAATACATTTAGGAAGTTTTTTTTTTTTTTTTTTTTTTTAATCTTCACGCACAATCCCTAACGGGGTAGCCAGAGAGAACAGATCGCCAAGTGTCACGATCCTTACATACCTCTTTCGCTTCTTTCAGGTTCATTAACTTCTTCATACATGCACGTCTAGGTATCCGAGTACTCTTGACCCTCCCCTCTTCGAGCAATTTGCTCACATAGTCTTCGAAAGTTAGTCTCGGTCTACCTCGACACCTTTTAATATTTACTTTCGCTCTATATATTTTCTTCACCATTCGGTCTTCACTCATTCGTTCAACGTGCCCAAACCATTGGAGTACGCCCCTATCAATTTTTGATTTAAGATTTAGAATTTAGGAAGTTAAAAAGGTTAATTTTTCTTTCGTTATGAACTTGTACCATCAGTACTTTTGTATCAAGTGATTGAAAATTGTCACTTATAATAATTTATTAACTAATTTCTTACCAATTTAAAAATATAACAATCTCCTACATGGTACAGCCTCAATGCAGCTATATTATGGTTAGCTCGAACAATAGCGCGAATGGATTGGCTTGACCAGAGAAGGACCACATTCTCACAGAATACCAGCGTCAAATAGCATCCTAATGTCATTGTGTTTTATATGGTGAGTAAAGAAGCCTTTTTTGGAAACGGGGCATTCCACGTTTGTCCTCAGGGGTGATAATGCATCATCTGTATTTTGATTCTTAATCGAGTATAGATGCAGATAGATGTCTATGGGCCCACTATCAAGTAGACTGTGTGCTAGTTTGTGACCCTTATTCTATAAAATCATCATGCACCTCTTATCATTGTTTCGAATAATAGTTTACATGCATAGACATTTAAAACAAGTATATAATTGAGATTTTTTGTTATCAATAGCGTATAGTTAGTACTATATAAATTACAATTGGAACCATTGACAATTAAAGTTTGTGTATATAATTTTTTTTCTATCGCTTAAGAGTTCACTTCTGGAAATAGACTTTATAAAGAGGAAGTTTGAAATAATAGTGACCCTGATTAACGTCGCCGGTCTGAATATTTTACATCTGAATTAAATACAAGATGGCTGCCTATCTGAGGGTGAAGATGTTCCAATTAACCATTTTGAAATGTCGCTTTTTACGAATCCGTCACCGTCGTCTTTTATGTTTCCGACGACGTTTATCCTTATTGCGATTACTACTATTACTATTAAAACCCATCTCATACTCTCTCTCATGAATATAGGCCTAACCAATAGATTTTTTTATAGGACAGGGTGACAAACGAGCACACAGTCCACCTGATGGTAAATGGTTACTGTGACCCATAGACATATACGTATTTATCACCGATTACGAATCAAAATGCAGATGCGTTGTCACCCGTGAGGACTAAGATGAAATGCCTCGTGTACAGTAAAAAGGGTCTGCGGTTCTCTATACTCACCGTACGAAGTAGTAGTAGTAGCATTAAGCTACTATTTTTACACTGTATTCTGTGAGAATGTGGTCCTTCCCCGATCGAGCGTACCCATTCGTGCTACAACTATACTACTATTTGGTTGCCACAAAGTACGGTCTTGAGCCACCCGCATCCATCGACTGCCTGCGTGCTTCATCAGGTCGTCATTCCATCCAGTAGGGGGTGGCCCGTCACTGTGTTTGCCAATATGAGGCTGCCACATGATTTTTAACTATGAATTTTTGTGACAAGTAGATATAATGTTCGATAATAGTTTGTGTTTATGTTTTAGCGCCCAATAGTCTCGTTCTCTATCGAGGATCGAACAGCATTAAACGCGAGGAAGAAGAGACTTGAGAAGTCGATAGCTAACAATCCACTAGCAAAGAAAGAGACGGAAGATCCTGAAAACAAAACAGGTAGGAATAGAAAAAGGAAGCTGAAAACTGCACCGGATGAGAGTTACATGAAAAAGGGTAAATTTGAGAAGAGATTCAAAGATCAAAATAGCGTAGGAAAGTTTGTAAGAAGACCAAAGGAGGTTGACGTCGGTGAATTCACAGGGTTAACGGCTAAAGAAGGCACACAGCACAAAATGAGAAACAATCATAAACTCAGAGCGCAGGCGGAGATCCATAGACAAAACGTGAAGCAAGAGAAGAAGAAGAATAAGCGCTCTTGGCGCCTCAAAATGGCTGCAAGAGAGAGGATTAAGTTACCGAAACAAAAGATCAACAAGGACAAGAGTACTAGCAGAAGAAAGAAATATAAAAATGTGTAGCATGTACATTGTACATACAATATTTTACGGCTAAAAATGTAAAAATAAATAACACAAAAAGTTTTTGTATCTTTTATTTTAAAGTACATTTACTTGTAGTGTCCCGCTTATCGCACCGCTAAAGTCAAGAACGGCAATGTGTGCATACTATCTCACTCATAGAATACCATAATACATACATAGTAGAACGGGGGAGTGGGCGGAGCCCGTGTAGCCACTAAAATGTCACTAACATGTCAATTCATCCGTATGTGAATTTTATTGTAAATGTCAACACGAGATGTGTTTTGACGTAACAATCGTTTCCAAATTTCGCATGCGAATTATTTATAAAATACCAAATAGCGCACTATTTACATATAAATATGTATTAAAATTCAAACGATTTTTTTAATGATGATTTTGACCATTAATCAAAAGTCTAAAATGTATAAAACTCAGTCTGTCAAAACAGCGAATCGGGTTTGTAGTATTTGTAATACGACGAATAGTTCATAAAAGATAGCTTGATCTCTGCGACAGCTGTCAGTAAAATCACGCCTATGAAGTCCTGAATTTCTTAGTAGTACAGACAGTACCTGTCAATGTCATAATTTATGGGCATGCCGACCTAATTAGTGCATGCCCATAAAATATGACATTGACAGGTACTGTCTGTACTACTAAGAGCTGTCGCAGAGATCAAGCTATCTTTTATGAACTATAATTGCTTGTTTTTATGAACTATATGGCTGTATGCAAGGAAAAGGGTCTTCTTGTGACAAACACTATGTTTAATCACAGGAAAATCCATATGTACACTAGAGAAAGAAAGAATGAGAGAAGTATGATTGATTTGTTCCTGGTGGATGACCGACTGCGAAAACAGGTGATGGATACACGAGTGTTCAGGGGTGCTGACCTGGGAACGGATCATTATCTAGTAATTACTAGATTTAGGGGTTTGTTCGCGGGTTGGCGCTACCGGACGGCAGTAACAGAACCACGGTCTGTCTGTCGCATCCGAAGCTGGAAGCTTCAGGAAGCGGATACTAGGGACAAATATCACACGAGGGTAGCCGAAAAGCTTGACACCATCGATGGCAGGAAAGAATGTGTGGAGAGAACATGGCAGAACCTTAGGGATGGAATGGTAAGTGCAGCGGAAGAAGTATGTGGTACGACAAAAAGAGGTAGTAGTAAAATAAGAGATGCATGGTGGAATGATGAAGTGAGAGAAGCTGTAAAAAAGAAGAAAAAAGCATGGTTAGACTACTTGGCCTCTAGTAACGATGAGCATATGAGAGAGAAGATGAAAGAAAGATATAAGCTGCAGAAAGTTCATGCGAAAACATTGATTGAGGAAGTACGTGAAAGGTGTAGAATAGAAGCGGACGAGAGGTTGTCGCACAACTTTAGGGAAAACTCCAAACTCTTCTGGAAAGAGGTTGGAAGGTCCCGGAGTGGTGCGACAGCCTTAAGAATGAACAAAGTGCTTTCGAGAACCAATGACGTCCTCTCAGAAAAATCGGACGTCATGCAGCGATGGAGTGAATTTTATAGAGAAATGTATGCGTGTCATGATCTTAGTGAAGGATCCGGGGGGTGACGCCGTGACTGGCACGCCAGACACGGACCTCGATGACACTGAGGTCATCAGCATGAAAGAGATTGAACGTGCGATTCGAAGTTTGAAATGTGGTAAGGCTGCGGGACTAGACAGAGTTACTGCTGAAATGGTCAAGTACGGTGGGCCTCGCGTCTGGGACAGCTTCCATCTGCTGTGCAATTTGTGCTGGCGGACGGGAGATGTCCCGGATGATTGGCGATCCGCGGTCATTGTGCCTTTATATAAAGGTAAAGGTTCACATTTTGACTGCGGGTGCTATCGGGCGATCAGCTTTGACCAGTTTAGCAAGTAAAGTTTACTTGAAGGTTTTGACACGTAGGATGCAAGAGAAATCGGAAAGATTCTTATGGGAGGCACAATGCGGATTTAGACCTGGAAGAGGATGCACGGATCAAATGTTTTCTCTCCGCATGATCACGGAGAAGCTTCTGAGTGTTAACCAGAGGATTTTCTGTGCTTTTGTGGATCTGGAGAAAGCATTTGATAAGGTTATAAGGAAGAAAATGTGGGAACTGTTGCCGGGATATGGTGTGGATGGTCGATTGTTAAGGGCTGTGCAGTCACTTTACTATGACTGTAAAGCCTGTGTGCGGGTAGGGCATGACCTGTCACCCATGTTTAGCGTCCAAGCGGGCGTAAAACAGGGTTGTGTCATGTCTTCCTGGCTGTTCATACTGTATCTCGACAGCTGTTTACAGAAGCTGAAAAATAGCTGTTTGGGTGTGAAATTGGGCGACATAAAAGTTAATTGTCTGCTGTATGCTGATGATGCAGTGCTTATTGCACCATCAGAAGCAGAACTGCAGGCATTAGTCACGTGTATGAAAGAGGAATGTGAAATTAAAGGTCTCCGTTTGAATGCTAATAAAACTAAGGTTCTGGTATTTGAAAAGGACGAAGAGAGAACGAAATGTGAAATATGGGTAAATCAGGAATGTCTAGAACAGGTAAATGAAATTGTATACTTGGGGAGTGCTTTCAGCCGGGATGGAAGATGTGATTTAGATGTGGATAGGCGTGTCGCTGCCGGAAACAAAGTCAATGGTGCCCTGAATGCATTAGTAAAAAGGCAAGGCGTGGTGAAGAGTGCACGCCTTGCAATACATAACGCAGTGTTGGTACCGACTTTGTTATATGGCAGCGAAACCTGGGTATGCCAGAAGAAGCATAAAAGCAAGTTGAATGCAGTGGAGATGCGATCTCTTCGTAAAATGTGTGGCGTTACCATAGCCGACCGAAAGCGAAACGAAGAGATTCGCAATATGGCAGGATTGAAAGATGACCTTATCACAAAAATTGATAGGGGCGTACTCCAATGGTTTGGGCACGTTGAACGAATGAGTGAAGACCGAATGGTGAAGAAAATATATAGAGCGAAAGTAAATATTAAAAGGTGTCGTGGTAGACCGAGACTAACTTTCGAAGACCATGTGAGCAAATTGCTCGAAGAGGGGAGGGTCAAGAGTACTCGGATACCTGGACGTGCATGTATGAAGAAGTTAATGAACCTGAAAGAAGCGAAAGAGGTATGTAAGGATCGTGACACTTGGCGATCTGTTCTCTCTGGCTACCCCGTTAGGGATTGTGCGTGAAGATAAGTAAGTAAGTAAGTATAATTGCTTGTATGTGTGTTACCGGCGACGCCGAATTTCGTACAAAATAAGTTTGATAGCCATTCTATTGTGTATTATAGTATTCTATGATCTCACTGCATCGATCTTGCTTTTATCGAGAACACTGCCTTAGAGGTCAAACAGAGATACTGTTGAATGAAACTAATGTTAAGAGTGAGGGTAGATTAAGAAGTGGTTTAACTCCCCCACTCGTACACGCAGTACAAAGAACTGCGCAGACAACTAGTTTGTGTCATTCAACGAGTCCCAATCGTGGTCGTCACTCTATTATCTAGATGTTAGTGCTGTTAGTCTATGCGACTCTTACAGCTTCATCTTGTCTCTCTAATTATGTGGTCGTCATTCTGTTCGTGGTAATTCTTTTAGTACCAGCTGAGAAGGTGATGCTGCAGTGAGGCCGGCTTAAGTTGTATCGTGTTGGGTTACGTTATTGTTGGTTTGCATAGACATGCTTTTTACTAGTCATTACGGGTTAAATCACGTTTATTTAGCTTATTTTATATTCCCAGCCTTTCGGGTACTTTACAGCACCTATGATCGCGAGGCGACGGATGTGTTTGACCTCGCAATGTCATAGTTAACATAATTAAATTTTGCTCCAATCTATCACAAAGAATATTATATAGTAATCTTGAAGACTTGCATTGCTATACTTGGGCTGGGATTTGATTAACTATGAGATTCCAAGCAGATTGTAGCACCCAGCCATCTTCTAAATTGAAATAGATTGTTTTTTGATTTTAATGGCTCCGAAAATTATCCTTGGTAGGAATTAGTTTACTTTTGCGAGGATAGTCTATCAAATCTGATATAATGGCGGGACGATCCTGTACGTGTTCACAGACTGGAGATTTTCCGAAGCGTTAACACCAGCTATGTTCTTTTGCACGGGTTTTTTTATTAATCTTTATAGTGGAAAAATTCAGAGGAAATCAGTATAGAGCTATAGAGGTACCGTGCCCCGATATTATGCGATAACCTTTAGAAGAGGTTCGAAGTTACCAGTAGTCAAGTACACCCAATTCTACTCCCAAGTATTTGCCAAAAAAGAAAATGAATACTGTGTCACACATTCATTTTCTTACACATTAACTTACACTTTGACTTCCCTTTGGTGTAGTATTCGTAAACGCGACTGCTAATCACGATGTCCCGGGTTCGAATCAAGAATTTGGCGCTGTTTCACTTAAGTACCTCCGGAAAGTATGTCGTTGGTCCTGCGCCTGATATTTCTCCCAACGTGTCGAATTACCGCCCTTTCGGACTACAAAGGGTAAGGGAATAGAGAGTGTACCTACTTGTCCTACGCAGATGTCTAGTCTCCATTGAAACTGGCCGAAACTTGGTCTTGAGGACGTTATGTTACATTACAGCATAACGTTGATTTAAATTAATAACAGAAGTAACATTAATTTTATTGAAACAAATAGCAAAAATAAAAAAAAGTTTATTCACAAAACTAAACTTAACCACCAACAAATATTATTTTTAGAAATAAATATTTATGAAAAATGAAGGCGGGTGGTACTTTTTAAAACTGTTAAGACCACAGAAATAGTAATAATAAGACAATAGAAATGAATTAGCGCTCGATTACTTCCAAAACCGATGTCGCCACCTACAGCCGTATTACAAACATGCGCAATGCACAAGTATATCTAATGTTTCACATTTCATTGCTTGGCGAGTTTGTCAACATCGCGTGCGTCGCATATTTATTTATTTATTTATTTAAGCTTTATTTGCACACATAAAAG